ATCGCTGGGTTCCCATCGATGGGATAGACTTCCCATCGCTGGGCAAGGTCGTTCTGCCTTGTGGTAATTTTGCACCAAGGCTCTAACAGCGATGGGTGGAACTCCCCATCGCTGTTTGGCATGGTTCTGGAAAGTGGTTTGGCTGAGGAGCCGCTTACCCATCGATGGGAAGATCTTCCCATCGCTGGGTGAGTGGTTACTCAAGAACCCATGGTTTTTGCCTTAACCACGGCCTAGCCAACCGATGCGAAACCCAACCGAAAAATTAAAAGTTCTCCAAAATAAAAACCAAGTGTTTAAAACACTTATTTGATGTATTTGGCTAATAAATCGAGTAAGACACTTTAAAAGCCACGTCATTTAAGTGAAAACCACGGCTAGCCAAGTTTTATGCCGTTTTGAATGATTTTTGTCAAACGACCAAAAGCGAAAGATGGTTTTCAAGATGTTTTTGTAGGATAACTGATTAATCATGCCAAAGAGTAAAACCCAATCATAAAATGTTGAAAACCACTTGGTTGGTTCGGATGCCAAAAACCATAGCCGATGACCGAGAGCCGAACGCCAGTTTCTGAAACCCGAACGCCGGATGGCTTGGTTTTTGGTTTGGGTGATCACCAAGTGTTTTTAATGACTTAAACATGTTTGAAAAACATTTTTATGATTTAAGAAGTGCAATGAAGGTCTTTAGCCTAAAGAGCCAAGGTGTAAAGACTGGGTCGGTCTTGATCACAATGAAGACCGACTCAACTAAGACTAAGGTCTTCGTTCTTGGTCTTCTTTTAGCTCTTGTTCTTGTCTTCCTTCTTCGCCTTGTATATTCAATGTTTGACTTGATCACGGCGGTTTGGCATTATCAAAACCTGTCATAAAAACAAACACGGCTTTAGTACGAAAATGTGACATGCCCGTGTTTCAACAATTTCCCCCTTTTTGATAATGGCAAACGAGATGAGGTTATGCATATGAGGAGGTCTTTAAGACTTTTTAAAAAAAGTATTCCCCCTTAATAGATGCCATTTTATTTGAAAAAAATAATTCCATTTTATTTGAAAAAATATTTCCCCCTCAATTTATGCATAACCTTGATATCTTCCCCCTTTTGACATTAACAAAAAGAATTAAAAGTGAACTTTGGAGTATAAAAGTAAAATTTTATTCATGAAAATGCGGAATACAACGGAATGGAAATAATAATAAAAAACAATCATATGAAGGAAGGAAAAGAAAGAAGAGTTTAGGCAGCGGCGTCCTCGTCCTCGGCGTCATCGTCTTCTTCGTCGTCCTCGACGTCCATGGGATCCCCGTCGACCGCGTCCTCAAAGTCGGCCTCGTCGGGGGAGGAGGATGGAGCATAGGAGTTATCCTCCTCGTCCTCGCCTTCATAGTTTTGGCCGAGGAAGGTGCTGTCAAAGGGCGGCGGGACGTAGTTGATGCCGCGGAAGAACGCCGTCATGTCATGGTGTTGGCGTTGCAGCGTCCAGTCCATCCGCTCGATTGACTGCCCCATGCCATCCACTGAGAAGGGATCCGATCATACCTCGATACTTTTTGACTTCTACTTCCTTACCTTTCTCGTCTTTGTCAAGATGGTCAGACATGCTCATCGGGGTCGCCATGGCTTTGGCGTTGTCCATTTCAAACCGTTTTAGGAGCTCCTTGCAGTATTTAGCTTGGCAGATGAACGTTCCATCTTTCATTTGCTTAACTTGGAGTCCCAAAAAGAATGTGAGCTCGCCCATCATTGACATTTCAAATTCGCTAGTCATGAGCGTTGAGAATTCCTTGCACAAAGACTCGTTAGTAGCACCGAATAAAATGTCGTCTACATAAACTTGAACCAAAAGGATGTTATTGTTTTTACTCTTGATAAAAAGTGTAGTGTCAACCTTTCCCCTTTGGAAACCACTACTCAAAAGGAATTTACTCAAACGTTCGTACCAAGCACGTGGTGCTTGTTTAAGACCGTAGAGCGCTTTCTTGAGTATGAAGACGTGATCGGGAAACTCAAAGTCCTCAAACCCCGGGGGCTGGTCAACATACACTTCCTCTTGAATAAAACCATTGAGGAAGGCACTCTTAACATCCATTTGATAAAGTTTAAAATCCATAGACGAAGCAAAAGCAAGAAGTAAACGAATAGCTTCTAAACGTGCTACACGTGCATACGTTTCTTCAAAATCAATGCCTTCTTCTTGATTGTAGCCTTTAGCTACAAGCCTAGCTTTGTTTCTAGTGATTATTCCATTTTCATCAAGTTTGTTACGGAACACCCATTTCGTACCAATAATCGTACGATCATTGGGCCTTGGCACCAATTCCCAAACGTCATTTCGTTTGAATTGGTTTAGTTCCTCTTGCATAGCCAAGGTCCAATGTTCATCGTTTATTGCTTCGGAAATGGTTGTAGGTTCAATTTTAGATACAAAAGCCATGTGTCCTACGGTGTCCCTAAGAGAGTTACGAGTACTTACCCCGCGGTTGATGCTGCCGATTACCTGGTCAAGTGGATGGTTCCTGTGCGTTCTTCAAGCTATGGGAAGCTCGGTTGTTTCTTCTTTGTGTTCCTCTTGTCCTTCTTCTTCCTCCTGATTTTCTTCCTCACCTTGGTTAGTCGTTTGAGGTATCTCCTCAGTTTGCGGCTGTGTGTGATGTATATTCCGGTGTTGTCTTCATCGTCATCAACATGTATTCTTTCTAATGATTCTGCAAGGTGATCACAAATATCCTTTCTCGCCAAGCGAGGGTTATCTTCGGAGAATACAACGTGAGGAGACTCCTCAATAGTCAAAGTACGTTTATTGAAGACTCTATAAGCCTTGCTACGTAATGAGTAACCCAGAAAAATTCCTTCATCCGACTTGGCATCAAATTTGCCTAAATTGTCTTTGCCATTGTTGTGAATAAAACATTTGCAGCCAAAGACTCGAAGATGGGAAAGGTTTGGCTTTCTCCCTTTGTATAGCTCATAGGGCGTTTTCATGAGTATCGGTCGAATGACGGCTCGGTTTAACACGTAGCTCGCGGTACTCACGGCATCCGCCCAAAAATACTTAGGGATTTTTGCCTCATTGATCATAGTTCTAGCCATTTCTTCGAGACATCTATTTTTACGTTCCACCACTCCATTTTGTTGTGGTGTACGTGGGGCTGAGAAGTTATGATCAATGCCAAGTTCGTCACACAAATCTGAAAACAGATTTCGTTCGAACTCTCCCCCATGGTCACTTCTTATGGCTACTATGGTTGTCTCTTTTTCATTTTGAACTTTCTTTAAGAAATTTTTGAAAA